AACGTTTCGATCTCGTAGAATCGTTTTCCGAAAGGGCTCGTTGGGGATATGCACACATTATTTTGTATGCCGCCTAACGGATAGGCTGATTTCCATGCATGAAGACGTGTCTTCACATCAGTTGAACCCCTGTTATCCTGATTTCCACAAATGCCTCCCATTTATTTCCTTCTTTTCCCGCGTATTCCTTTATGCTTACATTATTCTACCTTGTATTTCGTCACTTTACTTCCTTTTAGCCTTAAATCTCTATATGTACTTCAGGCATTACATGAGTTGATCTTCTATCTCCTGAATCGCTATTATTAAACCCTTAATTTATTGAATCTGCAGACAGCCTTAAATTGACATACGTACTCAGGTCATTGCAATAATTCAATGTAAGTACAGGTGCAATGGTCATTTTTCTTGATGGTGAAGAATTTGCTTGTTATGCACAGATTCGTTTATCGTTTACTGTTTAGGAGGTGCAATAACGTATGATGCCGCGCGCGTTCTTTTCCGGCGCCGCAGATGGCATTTGGCAATAACGGGTCTGTGATGCCCTTAGATGTCCAGGGCCGCACGCGCGCTACAATGACGGTGTCAACGAGTGAGACCTTCTGGCCCGAGAGGGTTGGGCAAACTGGTCAATCACAGGGATCGGGGCTTGGAATTGTGCCCCGTGGACGAGGGATTCCTAGTAAGCGCAAGTCATAAGCTTGCGCTGATTACGTCCCTGCCCTTTGTACACACCGCCCGTCGCTACTACCGATTGAATGGTTTAGTGCGGTCCTTGGATCGGCGTCATTGTGACAGTTGGCAGAAGGTCATTGCCCTGCGGTCGCTGAAAAGATGACCAAACTTGAGTATTTGGAGGAAGTAAAAGTCGTAACAAGGTTTACACGTTCGTCATGTGCCTGTAGCCGGTTCTGCCCCATCGGTGGGTAGCTGGCTGGACTGCTGTTAGCGGTGACGGTGGTGGTTGCTGCCACTGCTGTTGCTGCTGCTGCTGCTACTACGGCTGTACAGGTCTTTTAAACACGACAGGTATGCTGCAGCTTATTTTGTTTGAAATGTCGAGAAACACTCCTAGGTAAATAATTTCGAACGAGACGTTACTTGCCAAAGCGATCACTAGAGTCAGGTGCAATCATGTGCACCTGCAGATAAATAATCAAAGAACATGGCTGCATAAGTAAAGAGAGTTGGAGAAGTTAGCAAAGAATATGAGTCAAAGTGGGTACCCAAAACATCATTTGCTCTACTTTGGTGCCACCGAACAGGCGTTTAGAGTCACGTTTTGAAATAGCAACGAATGGCACTATTTAACTCTTGATCCTTAGTTGACGACTGTCCCCTTCCACACCTATGCAAAGGGTTGGGTTGTAATGCTGCACACCCATACAACTTTATAAGATTTCTTTAGCGGATAGCAGTTGGGATTAAAATGCCATGCATTAGCCTATTGCACCCTGCGGGTCATCCAATACAATGGTCTATGCTTTAAGCTATTCAATGCTATCCAAATCTCCAGCCTCTTTTCAGGCCGCTTGAAAGTGGGCAATTTGCAGAAAGGAACTTAGCGAGAGGTAAGTCGAATAGACAGCAATTGTTGATGTTTGGTGGTATGAGGTCTCCACTCTGCCTCTGACACACCTCATGAATCCGGTGAACTCCGGATAACCACATCCAAGAAAGTGATCGCTGCGGTGGATGTCCATTCACATCATTAGGACTGTTAAATTGCACTGAATCCTTAGCAAATTTTGATTTCCATTGAATTAATCATATGCAGTACATAGGCTGAAACTGGGGATAAGCTAGATGAAAGTGACTCAAGGCCCCACCTCCATGAAACTATGCCGTACTGCATACCTTGTTGTATAATTCGGCTTTTAGACCAGTATTCCTACGTTTAGAGAAGGGCACACTTGACGGTCAGCACATTACTTATCGTTTAATAGTTCTCCATCGGGCCGAAACCCCACATTTAATTAAATTTCCAAGAGAGCCTGGTAGAAATGCGAGCGAGTATCGTCTGAGTTGTGCGGAAATTCGATGCTGGCAGGATTGGTCCACATTATCACGGCAGGGCTAGAGGAAGGGCGCGAAACATCGCAACCCGAAGATGCGGTGCTTCGAAATCGACATCAAGGCCACCACATCAGGTCGACCACGTTTGCAGGGGTCGAATTTCGAAGGATACATTTCACTGTACCCGGATGCCTGAGTCCTGGCATGCAAATACTCCCATTTTTTTCTTTCGTGATTCAAAACATATGATAAACTAGAAGTGAACCCTTATAACTTTAGTCTTGATATTTTTGAGTTAAAAGAGTAAGATAATTCGATGAGGAGTGAATATTTTATCCCAATCGTGCCATCACTGGCGAATAGCAGCACAGCAATAAAAAAATCGAGGTTATACAGAGGTTGCTACAGTTTGTTGGAGCGGGTCATTTTATGACCGAAGAATTTGCTCGCCTAACTGACTGTGAGTGACCAATCGAGGTAGGATTGGTTATAAAAGTGTTGGACGGATGGGATGCAATTAAATAGTATACCTAGGGACAAAATCATTGGCAAGCACGATATAAAATAGGTGTGCGTGTGAAATCAAACGACGGTAGAATACATGGAGGAGGCTTGTCACGTTGACTTGAGGTCACTTTTGTGGAGTGGTCCAAATAAATAAATAAATAAGTCAATGAATGAATGAGAAGGAACTTACGTGTATCCGCCTAAATCGTCACACACCTCACGGATGAGCTGCTATCTGATTCAGTGATTTCCGTTGTAATACTCAAGCCAGCCAGATGGCACTGCTGTTGCTACGATCAAGTCTGCGTTTTGTGTGGCAATTTGGTTGGTCTACCAGTAAATGAAGCTTTGATGACCTGTAGTAAAACAGGGATCGAGCAGAAGTTTGCGGTATCTCTGTCCACTAGTCCCGAGCTTAATCACTCAAAGTACAATCCAATATGAGCTTCATAGTAATAGAGAGAAGCTTCGAAATAACTTACGTCAGCGCTCTCTACCTCAGTGAATTGCATCTCCCAGGACATTTTGAGGCAGATGCACACACTCTAGAGACTTGCGAACTGATGAAATCGGAGTCCCCCTCCACGCTCAAACTCCTGAACTGCAATACAGGATTGTCGAACCGCTAGATGGCCCCATTCCTCATGCGCAGGTTTTCAGAGAAGTGAAAAACGCTTCTCTAAGCGATAATATCTCTGGCTTTCAATTATAAATTTGCTAACATTAGACGCCCGCAAACTTGACACTGATACAGCGATGTATGCTATAAAACTCGTTACAGTAGTAATAAAAAGGCACCCATGTCAATGTTTTGCCGGTTCTTCAATGCACGAAGAATGTGACTGATTTGGTGAACCAAATTTGACCTAAACTGACATACATTTCTCATGCACGGGCAAACGGGGAGAAATGGAAACGAATTCCCCATAAGATAATTGCTCCGATTTGCAGTTACCCA